AAAAAAAAAAAAAAAAAAAGAACAGCATAAAACAGTTATCTGTATCAAAGCACTCCACCATCTTTCTACCCTCCAAACATGCAATAGGATGCACTGTCATCAATAACAGTAGCTTACTGTTGATGATTATCCAAGAGAAGGCTGTGCATAACATTTGCATTTCATCCTTATTTCACAGAATTATAATTTTATTTAACTTTTTTTGAGACAGGCTCTTGCTCTGTTGTCCCAGGCTGGAGTGCAGTAGTGATCATACAAACTCAAACTCCTGGGCTCAGGTGATCCTACTGCCTCAGCCTCCCAAATATCTGGGACTAAAGGTATATGCTGCCACACCTGGCTAATTTTGCTATTTTCTGTAGAGACAAGATCTCAAATTTCTGGGCTCATGTGATTCTTCTGATTCAGCCTCCCAAAGTGCTGGGATTACAGGCATGAGCCACTGTACCTGGCCTTAGGACTTTATTTTAAAATATCAATGTTTTATTTTTCACTAATTATCTGATATTCCCATAAACTGAATGTACTCTTCAGAGAAAAGAGTTATCTCATTGTTTAACACTTCATAATATATATCTTAAGTGGAAAAGACATTAGAGAAAAGATGGATATAGTTCTCAATGCTATGAGACTTGAGACATCTGTGGATCAATAAATTGTCTAATCTGTAAAAAATACAATATTTTAATTGATTTAAGCACATTCAGGTTAATAAAATCTATTACTATCTTTGCCACTGATACACTACTTCATCTTCTACTACTTTCAACTTATACATTATGAGAAAGTATAGATTCCCCTGCCCTAGAGCAATGAAGGAAAGGGAATCACAGCTTGGCGGGTGGGGTGGGGGGCTGAGGGGGACTTGATTTTTCATGTGTGCTGGGTAGCAACATCCAAATCTAGAAAACATCCAAGAAATAATAAGGAATATAACAAATTATTTGGTTTTAAAAACTTTCTAAAAAGACCTTCTTTTGAAAGGCCCTCCAACTTTAAGAACATCACAAAGTTGGGCCTACATATTTAGATAATCACAAAGCTTTCAGGTGACAACAGTTAGTTCTATAAAGAGAAATCATGCTTAAATTTGTAGTTACACCATCAAATCTTTGAGCCTTCAATTTCTTTAAAAATTCAAAATAAATATAAGTATGTAAGAATCTTGACCCATCTTTACAAGAAAAATATTCTGACCCTCAAAAACAAACCTTATTGAAATATCTGAAAAGAATAGCTCTAATCTCAACAGGACTCAGGCAAGCTAGTTTTCCCAAGACGTTTGCTTCACTATGAGAGAGGTTATGGAATGATACTCTAAGTGAGTTCTGGCGACTCTGTATATTTTCATTCTTGTATTCAATTGCAGCTTCCAAAGCTTCAATCCCTTCTTCAAGTTGGAAAAGAAGATGTTCTTCCTAGATATAACAGAAATCACTCATTTTAAATGAAATAGTGTAACTTTAACTTTGTCATATATTCAGATCCTACTAAACTATTTTAGTCTAATGGACATTACCACTCTTTTACTAAATTTTAAGAAAATGTTTTTTGAGTGCTTGCTATGCCACATAATACAGTGTGTGTATAAACACACACACAAACATATTAATATAATCATTAAGCCCTCACAATAAACCTGGTGGAATAAAATGGAAAAGACAGAAGTTTAGGTGAGTTCTGAAATGTTCCAAGGTCACACAACAACTGCTGATCATCTAATCCAAGGAATAAACTTGAACAAAGCCTAAGTCCACAGGATTAGCAGTATTGTCATATATCAACTCCATAACCCCTTAAGTCCCTATTATGTGTATTTCCACTAGTGAGATCTAGAGACTCACTGTTGTCCCTTCAATGATCTATGAAAACAATACACTGCTTCGAGGTATAGTTATTAAGAACTAGTAATTTAAAAAGCACAATATGGCATTAAAAAAGTAGGATGTAAGTATGTGAAATATTTCATAAGATTCCTATGAAATGTTATTAGAAGGAAAAGGTAGATGTTAAAAATAGGGGCAACACAGTATTTTTTCAAATACTAGAGAAGATTGATGAATCTGTCAGACAACCTGTAATTTCTTTTCTTTTCTTTTTTTTTGAGACAGGGTCTTGCTATGTTGCCCAGGCTGAACTCAAACTCTTGGCTCAAGCAATTCTCCTTCTTTGCCCTCCCGAGTAGCTGGGACTACAGGGACATGCCACCATGCCCAGATCTTCCAGTTCTTTGAACTATCTAAATACATGTTATTTTGGTGATACAAAACTCTGGTAAGGAATTACTTCAGATTGGTGAGATTTGGATATATGTTTCTGTATACCTATAACTATTGTGATGGCCACCTCAGTAAGTTCCTGTGGCAGACTGTCTTGTCCATATGTACACCCTTACTGCCTAGCACAGTACCTATCACATAGTTTGAACTCAATAAATATCCGTTCACTTAATGAAGAAAGAGGAGAAAAAATAACTTCATGTGTCCTTGGCTACAGGACCCATGTTATTTCTCTCAAATCCTCCCCCTAACATCCCAAAGGAAAATAATGTGAATATTTCTTTTTTTGTTTTTTTCTGAGACAGGATTTCACTCACTCTGTCAGACAGGCCGCAGTGCAGTGGTGCAATCTCAGCTCACTACAACCTCTGCCTCCTGTGTTCAAGCAATTCTCCTTCCTCAGCCTCCCAAGTAGCTGGGGTTACAGATGCACACCACCACGCCCAGCTAATTTTTGTATTTTTAGTAAAGACAGGGTTTCATCATGTTGGCTAGGCTGGTCTTAAACTCCTGACTTCAGGTGTGATCTGCCCACTCGGCCTCCCAAGGTGCTGGGATTATAGGAGTAAGCTACCATGCCCAGCCAATAGTGTGAATATTTCTGATCTACCTAAAGAAAAATGATCAACAGCCATTCTATTTCTCTGTGCAATCATTAACCATATGGAATTTGATGGTTTGATAATTGCCTCATAAGGAATAAAATAATATTCACCTTTTCAAGAAAAAAAAACCCTTAAATACTAAAATGTACTTCGCTGAATAAGAGGAGCCACAAATAAAAGTGAATTTTCCAATATAGAGTGAGTCCTTACTTATCATCAATAGGTTCTTAGAAACTGTGACTTTAAGAGAATATATAAGGGAAATTTTTTTTCTTATTAACTTTATAACAAAAGCAACTATGTTGAAGGAAAACAATGTAATTTGAGGACCTGATATACATGGTGTCTCTTGAAGTCCCAATTTCCAAGAACCTATCCACAATGTTCAGTGAGTACTTTACTGTACTTGACTTTTCAATTCATACTGTGATTATATTTTATCAAAAACAAATGTGAAGAGTTTGCCTTTATACATGGTTGAGGATAATTTAGTATAAATTTAGTTTCTATGGTTTTGGATCTAAGTTAATGAAGTACTGAGATAATATAAGGTCATATGAACATAGAAACCCGAGGACAGCCCACTCCAGTGAGGCTGCAGCGGATCCATGTTTGTCGTTCCCTCTAACTCAGCAATAGGAGTAAGTTGACAAGATATGTGGCAATGGGAAACTATCCTGGGATAAAAACTTTGCCACAACACAAACCACAGGTTATCAAGCGGTGACTCTGCTTTATGATAGAGCACTGCTTTTTAACTTTAATATGTACATAGGAGCTTGCTAGAATTCAGATTCTGATCCAGCAGATCCAAGTGGGGCTTGAGGATCCACATTTCTAACAAGCTCCCAAGTGATGCTGTTGCTGCTGGTCCAGAGACCAAGTAAAATAAAACAAATAACTAATAACAACTTTGAAGCAAGCACTGTGTATATGTATATTTCTCTATAAATTGTATGTTCTCAGCTGGGTGTGGTGGCTCACGCCTGTAATCCCAGTACTTTGGGAGGCTGAGGCAAGTAGATCACTTGAGGTCAGGAGTTCAAGACCAGCCTGACCAACATGGCGAAACCTCGTGTCTACTAAAAATATAAAAATTAGCTGGACATGGTGGTGCATATCTGTAATCCCAGCTACTCTGGAGGCTGAGGCAGGAGAATTGCCTGAACCCAGGACGTGGAGGTTGCAGTAAGCCAAGACTGCACCACTGTACTCCAGCCTGGGTGACAGAACAAGACTCCGTCTCAATAAAAAAAAATATGTGTGTGTGTGTGCATATATACATATATGTTCTCATCATAAAATGTAGAATTGAAAGCTTAAAAGATTAGATAAACATAATAGTTCTTATATTTTCCTCCCCATTACTAAGCAAACTACTCTATATTATTAGAAAACTGAGGTTCAAGTATTCTTTAATTTTAGTTCTAGATTTTACCAAAAAAGGGAAAAAAAAAAAAAAAACAGTGTGACTTGTCTGTAGTAAATTGTTGGGTAATCTTCTATTAGTGTAGTGATCTAAAATCTTTCTATCAAAATCCTTAAAGTAATAAAATTAGGAAAAATATTTTAATTTACTGTGGAAAGAGAAAATAATCCTAAGCAAGTTTAAAGACATTAAGACAGCAAACCATTCCATCTAGATTTTATTGATATCTTGTGTCACAACAGAATCTTATGTTCTTGATCATCTGCTAGTCACAGATCTATTTGGGAAAATTAATCTTGGCTTTAAAATTGTGATAAGAGCAGAGCCTCACTTGAGAGCTACACTAAGAAGAACCAACCATGTGGAAGAAAGGGGCATAGAAGCTCATGTGACTTTAGAACTCCACCAATTGTAGAAGGCTCATCATTCCCTCAAACCCCAGTCCAGAATAGCTGCAAAATAGGTATCATGCACCGTACTATATTTTCACCACAAATCTGTAAATAATGTTTTTAGTTACAGGATCCCACATGAAACAGACACCTAAATGTTTCTTGATATTAATGGAATTCTACCCTACTGCAAACATAATTTGTTAATTCCCATCTCTGTGCCTTATTTAATGATGTTCTATCTAAAATGGACTTCTTTCTTATATCTGCCAGTACATATATTTTTCATAATTCAGCTCAAGATTCTGATCCACTGAGGCTGCCTTGATGAATCTTCCCCCAAAAGATCACTTCATTGCTTTGAATAAATAATGTAAGAAGTATAGCTGTAATACATTATCCACAATTTGATTTTCAATGTCCTTCAGAATTTAGACTTTTCTGATATTTCTGTTTTCCCAAATAGGGTATGAATTTCTCAAGAGAAACATAATACTTTTTTTTTTTTTTTTTGCTTCTTCATAGAGCTTAGTAATAGTCACGGGCAGGCAGAATTCCTTAAATATTTGAATTCTGATATATCTTAAGCTATCATATCTTAAAATCAATAAGCCTGGGGCTCCAATTTAACACGCTGGGAGGACAGCCTGGGGCTCCAATTTAACACGCTGGGAGGACAGCCTGGCTTTCTGATCCTCTGCACAGCCACCCAGCTTAAGTTATAAAACAGGGCAGTAGAGGTCCTATAATGTTCCTTTCAACTGCCACTTAGCCCCCAATCAAGGGATTTGTAAATCAATCCTTTCATCAATTCAATGAGCAACAATCTAATGTTATCCTTCCTCCTATTTCTTAATGAGCCCCCTAAACTTCCTCTCATTTGCTCCAAACTAAAACACTACAAGATTCACCAATGTGTGTGATTCTCAGCTATTCACCTTCTCTTAGCAATTTTCCCTTGCTTTGGTGATGATAAGACATCAACAACAAATATTTGCAGAGAAAGTTCAAGTCCAAAAATTCATCTTTGTCTGACGAAGTAAGGTACAGGTACCACTGCCAACTGATTTAAAATTCTGAAAAAAGACAAAGTCTGGGGCAATTTGACAGCCCGTAAATGAATCATCTTTTACATAGTTTTAAAAAATAAAGGTGAAAGGAGCCATATACTTCCTAAATAAAAACTGTAACTAAAAGGTATTTTGCTGGGATTAGAATTTTATGCATCTATTTGGCTGGACATAGTATGGACATTGGGCCTTCTCAACCAAGGTTTCATGGAAAGAATTAACCTCTAATTCCTTAAGCATCTGTTGTATGTAATAAATTACCTAGTATTATTCAAGAAATTGTGAGAAAAGTCACGTGCCCTCCAGTAGAGTCCCTCAAATGACTTTCTGTGTTCCCAGCTAAGGAGGCAAATATACTTAAGGAAAATAAGAGTTTCCAAATGCCTGGCAATGCCAGGAAGGGGCCATGTCCAGGGACCACTATGTAAGGATATCTCAGTCTCTAGTCAAGCATGGTTTGTGGTCCAAATAAGCGCCAAGTGAACTCACTACATCTGACAAAATCTCATGGAACCCAGTTTACCAAATGTATCATATTTATGATTATGTGAAAAAGACTGAGGAAATCACTCAAGTGATCCATCATACAGCACCTCCAGTTCCAAAGAATACTGACTTACTTCAGGTGACAGCACTCTACCATTCTTAAGTTTTTCATCCACAGTGTGTCTTCGTTTCTGGAGCTGATCTTTTTCTTTCTGGAGGGCTTCCACTTGTTCTGAAATCTTTATTTTCTCCTCAGCTGTGCTGCTCTGAAGCTGCACATTCTTTTCAGACAATTCTTGTTCCAGTAAGTTCAGGCGAGTTGATATTTTCAAACTATCTGTGTTTAAGGCCTAAAAGATACAACCCACCGGACATCCCAAAAACAGTTACTAGAAATCTAGACTGCATAAAAATTAGCAAAAACATAGAGAAAATTGCTAAATATATTTTTAGTTTTTACATTATTGTTTGCTCCCATGGATCTTTTTGAGGGACAGGGGTGTTCATTTTTCTTTTTTTGTTTTTGAGATGGAGTCTTGCTCTGTTGGCACGACCTCGGCTCACTGCAACCTCTGCTTCCCAGGTTCAAGGGATTCTTCTGCCTCAGCCCCCCAAGTACCTGGGATTACAGGCGCCCGCCACCTGGCTAATTTTTTGTATTTTTAGTAGAGATGGGGTTTTACCATGTTGGCCATGCTGGTCTCCAATTCCTGATCTTGGATGATTCACCCGCCTTGGCCCCCAAAGTGCTGGAATTATAGGCGTAAGCCACCACGCCCAGCCAGGGTATTCATTTTCTAAAATCTTAAGTTGAATGCCTTTTTAAAAAAATGTCTATTTAAACTCTGAGTTTACTACCAAGAATTTCCTTGACTAGGTTTTCAGAGGCAGTATTTTTCTTTTTATTATTTTCTAAATTGAACTTTTCTTTCTTGGCTTACATTCTACATTGTAGAATTATGTTACAATTTCCTAGGGGTTGAGATTTGGTGTGTTAAAACATATGATTGGTTGGCTTAAACATATAATTTGTTTTTGCTCTTATTTCATTCTGATGAGAAAATATGGCCAGATTTATGGAGATGTTCATTGTGGTCAAATTTCAGGTAATTTGTAAAATATTTTTCATAGTAATTATTTGTATATACTACCATAAGGTTTATTATGTAAACACATACTTTCATAAGGTTTATAATTTTAAAAACGCATTCCCTTCTCCCAAGCTTTTAACTGAATCCTACTCCCAGACAGCCACCTTCAACCTTTTCAATTGGTTCTTCCAGTGTTTGTGGCATGTTTCTAAATGGCCCTGTCAATTTTAGACATTGTCTATTGACTATGTATTATGAGAGATAAAGATTTAGCACCCCTATACCTACTCTACTTCTCCATTCTCCCAATATGTTATGTTTCAGATTTTAGTTAAAAAAAAACAAACTGTGATTTTATTCTTCATAGGTGAATGATCTAGTGTGAAATGATCATGCTTCTGTTTTGATACAACTTTTTATGGCACCTTCTAGCTAATTCTTCTCCAACAGAACTACAAAATTCCTCTCAACAATTTTTCGTTTGATCAAACTTAATCAGGAATTCTTTTCAATCTATTATTTTCTGGAAACATTTTGCCTGAAGCATTCATCCTCCCGCTCCACATTGGACCAGTTGTCCAATGTGGACAATATCCTGAGAATTTCCATGTTGGAGCACATTTTCAGAACACTGAGTCTTCCTTTTTCATAGTTTGTGCCCTTATTTTTGTGGAGCACATTCTCTAGTAGTTTCCTTGGATTTGATGGGATATACAAATTTTTTAACCTAAAAATGACCTTATTCTAGCTTCACATTTGATTGAGAGTTTGGCTAAGAAGAAAATTATTTTATTAGATATAATTTTCCTCAGGAGTTTGAAGACTGCTTCAGATCTTTAAACTTCTAATGAGGAAAGCTGAGAAGTCCAATGCCATTCTGATTCTTGAGATTTACAAGTAGGTTTTTTTTGTCTAGAAGCTTTCAGGACCTTCTTTTTTTCTTAGTCAGTGTATGCAAATCTTCGCAATGGTATGTTTTAGGTACTCATTTTGCTGGCCTACTTCAGTCTAGAGCTTCACATTACTAGTGTTAATTTTTTTTTTTTTTTTTTTGGAGACAGAGTCTTACTCTGTCACCCTCGCTAGAGTACAGTGGTGAGATCTTCACTCACTGAGACCTCCGCCTCCCCAGTTCAAGCGATTCTCCTGCCTCAGCCTCCCAACTACCTAGGACTAGAGGTGTGCACCAACACGCCCAGCTAACTTTTGTATTTTTAGTAGAGACAGGGTTTCACCATGTTGGCTAGGATGGTCTTGATTCCTTGACTTTGTAATCCACCTGCCTCAGCCTCCCAAAGCACTAGGATTACAGGTGTGAACCACCGTGCCTAGCCAAGAAAATTTTTTATATGATGTCTTTGATGATATTCTCTCTTCTGTTTTCTCTGTTGTATCTTTCTGGAATTCCCATTACTTGGATCTTGGGCTTCCCAGATTTATCTGCCAATTAAAAATTTTTTTCTCCTACTTTCTATTAACTTATATTTTTACTTACTTTTTGGGATATTTCCTCAATTTTATCCTCTGACTCCTTTTTTTTTGAGATAGAGTTTTGCTCTTGTTGCCCTGGCTGGAGTGCAATGGCAGTCTCAGCTCACTGCAACCTCTGCCTCTGAGGTTCAAGCGATTCTTCTGCCTTTGCATCCCAAGTACCTGCGATTACAGGTGCCCACAACCACACCTGGCTAATTTTTGTATTTCTAAAGGAGATGGGGTTTCACCATGTTGGTCAGGCTGATGTCAAACTACTGACCTCTGGTGATCCCCCGACCTTGGCCTCCCAAAGTGCTAGGATTATAGGCGTGAGCCACTGTGCCCATCCTATCCTCCAACTCTTTTAATTTCAAAGAGTTATTTCATGTTTTTAACAACTTGTAGTTCTTTATAGTCATCTTTTAGCACATTGATGATATTAAGATTTCTGTGAAGTCTTTTCAGCTTCTTGCTCTAATGTCTGAGTTCATTTTTTTCCTTTTGTTTTGTTCTCTGTCTTTAATAGTGGCATTCCTGAAATGTCCATACTATTTCAGAGTCAGGTAAGAAAAGCTGATAAGATCTGTGATGATAGCATATTTGAGGGCCACTTAGTTGGGGGCTCCCAAATTTAAGTGTTTTTATGTCTTTTTAGATGTTTCAGAAAATATGCCAGTTTATACTTCTAGGAAGTATAAATCTGGCTGCCAGTGTTTTTGGATCTAAGCAGAGATTAGGAAAGAGATGTTTCACAATTCATGTACAGACTTGCATTCATTCCCTATTTGGAGTTTTTTGACGTACCACAAACTTTGCTGTGCCTGGTTCAATCTTCAGAAAATAAATCGGTCACAGAATGAGAAAAAATAGTTTCCTGACTATGTCATTTTCATTTTTATGCTACTCCTGCCTTCTGAAAATTTTGGTTCCTTAATTTCTGAGTCTTTTTGATGTTCTATGTGAATTACATCTCTCTAAAGCTGTTATTTTTTAAAAACGAAAACACCTAAAGCATTCCTAAAATGCCCATCACATTTCAGAGTCAGGTATTAAAAGGCTGATAAGATGTGTGGTGATAGCATATATATAGGATCTTGGCCTAGCTCTCATTTTTATCTCTCTAGGTTCTTGGATTGCAGCATCTTCTGTTCTGCTAAGTTAATAACCTCTCATCTATTTGCTTTCTATCTTTTCCTTCTTTGTAATCTTTTCTTCTCTGTTATCTCCTCTACTGTCTTTTCCCCTTTATGGCTTTTCAAAAAATGTAAAAGCTTTAAGGAGATATGATCTACATACCATACAATTCACCAGTTCAAAGTATATAATTCAGTGGTTTTAGTATATTCGCAGTTAAGCAACCATCACCACAATCAATTTTACATTTTTATCACCCCCTCAAAAAAAGAAACCCCACACCTATTAGTATGCTTTCTATTTCCTCCCCAATCCCCCACCAACCCTAGATAACCACTATTCTACTTTTTGTTTCTGAATAGAAATGGAATTGCCTATTCTGGACACTTGATATAAATGGTGTTATACAAAGGTGTTTTTTTTTTTTTGTGATTGGATTTTTTCACTTAGCATAGGTTTTCAAGGTTCATCCATGTTATTGTATATATCAGTACTTAATTTCTTTCTATTGTCAAATAATATGCTATTGTATGGATAATCACAGTTTGTTTATCCATTCATCACTTGATGAACATTTGTGTTGTTTTCAGTTTTTAGCTATTATGAATAATGTTACTATGAACGTTCACGTTCAAGTTTTTGTTTGCTTTCATTTCTCATGGAGACATACATATAGAAACCTCTGTCTAGGAGTGGGATTACTGGGTCACATAGTGTATCTCTCTCTCTCTCTTTCTCTCTCTAGGAGTGGGATCACTGGGTCACAAAGTTTAGCCTTTTGAGGAATTACAAGATGGTTATCCAAAGCAATTATACCATTTTCCAATTTCACAAGCAGTGTATGAAGGTCCCAGTTTCTCCACCTCTTCCCCCACATTTCTTATTATCTGTTTTTCTGATTATAGCCATCCTAGTGGGGAGTGGGGAGTGGTTTACAACCAGAATCAAGTAGCATGTTAAACAGAATACCTGACTAGATCTCAATTTCTTATTTTCCAGGTGACTTTTCTCCTGTAACAGGGCCTCCTTCTTAGAAACTATGGCCTCTCGTTTCTTTAAGTCTTCTTCCAGCTCCTCTAATTCTTGGCGTTGGTTCAGAACTTTCTCTACTTCTTCATCTAACCATTTCTTTTGCTCATCCAATTTCTACATTAAAATTCAAAAAAAAAGTTACTTGCTTTTCCTTCTGCCATAAAAATTACATAATAACAACATAATTTCAGATTGGCTGAAATCTCTTTAACGAACATTTAAAAACTATCACTCAGAGTACTCATGTTCCCGTCTGAAATCCTAAAGATATCAGTGGTTCTAGTCAAGATGTAGCTAGGTTGTTTTATAAAGAATTAAAATTTACTCCCCAGATATGTTAAACAGTCTGGGATTTTTTAGCCTGACAAAGAAAGGGCTGATAATTTTCTATGCCTATAATAAGAACATGTTGGGAGTCTTTTCTCTATTATAGTAGTGCATAAGTGGTGCATACTTCCATCATAAGCACTTACACTAGTGGTTGCTCTACTATCTATCTCCCCAACTTGAGCTCCTTGATTGATTGCAGGGACTATAGTTTTTACCTGTCTATCCACATGCCTGGTATATTCCCTGGCCCACAGCAGGCATTCAATAAAATGTTAAATGAATGACTGAATGAATGCCTGATTCAGTCAATCAATGAAGTGAATAAATGAATACATACAGTGAAAGACAGAATATGGAGCATGGAAGGAAACCCAATTTGCATTGTAGCTTGTCAACTTCAAATAATTATTAAAAAAAAACAAAACAAAACAAAACAAAAAAACTGCTGAAAAGATCTCCAAAATAAACATCTTCGTACTCTCTTGAATTAAAGATACATAGAAACAAGTACAAACATAAATATAGATGGAATATGACTGTTGAAAAGGAACTCTACCAAATGGACACAGTAATGAAGCACTGCCACCAAAACAACAAATATAGGAAAAGAAAACAATATAGTATTGTTTCCTAGTCCTTCATGAACCTTATAGGAAGGGTTCCTAGAAATCTGTAATACAATGACACAGTGAAGACATATGAGAAAAAGAGAGCAAAATGGCCAAGACAAAGAAGATGCATAGCTCTTCAGTCTTCCAATAATACCAAGATATTAATAGTATGATCTTTTAAGCACTATCATGTCCAGGTAACACTGGAGCCTAATTATAGTAGCTCTACAATTACTAGGAGCAGAAAGAACAACTATAAAAATGTTAGTTTTGTTATATCCTTAGATACTCCAGGAGGAGACCCTATGAAGTCTAGCAAGTAACTTAAACATATTCTATAACCATTCCTAAACTGTGAGTGGGGTTTGAAAGATGAGTAAGAGATTCTTTTTAAGCTCCACTTAAAAGGAAAAAAACTAAAAAATTACAACTGGTAATGACATTTCTAGGTGGAATGGGTGTTATGTGGGAATGCATCCATGTCAGTATTAAATGTCACTAATAAAATGTAAAATTTATGAAGACAGAATAAATCTTTCTAAAGTAAAGTAGATTTAATTGCATTCTGGGTATTTTAAATACAATATTTTCTTATATAAAATTTACAATTTCACTTTCTTTGAACTTTGAAATCTGTTTGTGGATTATGACTTTCTTTTTAAAAGGTGGCACTAAAATAATGGCTCTTTAATATATAGAGTACATATACAATTTGGTTTTATTTGAATGTAGAGCTCTGATTTTTAGAAATATATTTGTCTTCATGAGATGGGAATAAATACAATCCAGTGAACACAGATTTCAACTTATAGCCTACAACATTCAAATAAACTCATTTCTACTGAAATAAGAATATATTTTGCTGAGAGAGCAAAAAAATATAGCACATTTCTGGATGAGAAAATAATTTTGTAATCATAAAAGTTTCACTATTTGGGCAACAGGATTATTATAAGTCCAAATCTTAGCATCACACAATATACCCATGTAATAAACCTGCACATGTATCCCTGAATCTAAAATTTAAGACAAGAAAAATAATAAAGTTTCAAAACAAATACCAGAAATTTTGCATTCGGACGGCAAAGAGTTTAGTGTTTAAAAGCTTTATTCAGAGTCCGCCAGTTTTTACATCTATCTATCTGTCTGTCTGTCTGTCTAGGGAGTTTGCTCTTGTTACTCAGGCTGGAGTACAATGGCGTGGTCTCAGCTCATTGCAACCTCCACCTCCCGGGTTCAAGTGATTCTCCTGCCTCAGCCTCTCAAGTAGCTGGGATTACAGGTGCCCACAACCACGCCCGGCTAATTTTTGTATTTTTAGTAGAGATAGGGTTTTACCATGTTGAACAGGCTGGTCTTTAACTCTTGACCTCAGGCAATCCACCCACCTTGGCCTCCAAAGTGCTAAGATTACAGGCATGAGTTTACCTCTATTTAAACAACCATCAGATTGAAGAGAAACCAGGAAACACTAAGTAGAATTGACAAACCTGGAGTTGGTCTATACTTCCAAATGAACCTTTTCTCCTTTTCAAGTTACATGCATCAGGGTCCTCAGCTTTCAGTTTTAGACCATCTTCCTGTCCTGTTTTTAACTGTAGTTCCTATAGAAAAAGAAATTGAAAACACCTTATTGCTTTTACACTTGACCATCATTAAGTATGCAGATAATTCTTTTCTTTTCTTTTTTTTGGAGACAAGTTCTCACTCTGTCACCCAGGCTGGAGTGCAGTGACACAATCATAGCCTCAAACTCCTGGGCTCAAGCCATCCAGCCACATTTTCTTAACATTTACTTGTTGAGTCACAGAAAGAGAAAATGAGTAGATGATGGTTGGGGCTATTTGAGAAGAAAATAATGTGGAGTTTTTTTGTTTAAAAAAGTTTTTCAGATATAGAGTTTCACTCTGTCACCTAGACTAGAGGGCAATAGTGTGATCACAGCTCACTGTAGCCTCAAGCTCCTGGGCTCAAGTAATCCTCTCAGAGCCTCCCAAGTAGCTAGGACTACAGGCATGCACCACCACGTCCAGCTAATTTTTTTTAAATTTTTTGTAGAGATGGGGGTCTCACTATGTTGCCCAGGCTGGTCTCCAGTGATTCTCCTGGCCTTCAGTGATCCTCTGGCCTCAACTTCCTAAAGTTCTAGGATTACAGGCATGAGTCACCAAGCTCAGCCTTAATTTTTAGTTGACAAACAATAATTGTACATATTCATGAGGTACGTAGTGATATTTCAATACATATAATGTATAGTGATCAGACTAGGGCAATTAGCATATCCAAGAAAAAAGGAATGTTAGCTCCCACTGAGGCAATAAAATGTAACTGCAAAAATTAGGATATACTAACAAAACTGAGGATTTTTTTCATTCTTCATGAGTGTTACAAATTAGCACAACATGGATAAGAGTCTGAAATTATAAGTGGGTTTTTCTCTTCTGCCTTTCTGAGCTTATTACCTTCATAAGTTACTCCACCTAAGACATCCATCTGATGTGGGTATATTAAAATTTATTATGGTAGAAATGCAAAAAGAAATGTTCAATATCTAGTGTTCAAAAATGGGAGTTTGCACTATGAGAGTAGCCTTAGAAGATAGATCATGGTCTTATGAAGCATATTTTCCAAATTCTTTAGTTTCTATCCACAATGTGTTTTTTTGAGTCAGAGTCTCACTCTGTCGCCCAGGCTGGAGTGCAATGGCACAATCTTGGCTCACTGCAACATTCACTTCCTGGGTTTCAAGTAATTCTCATGTCTCAGCCTCCTGAGTAGCTGGGATTACAGGTGTGCCACCACAACTGGCTAATTTTTGTATTTTCTTTTTCTCAGTAGAGACAGAGTTTCACCATGGTGGCCAGGCTGGTCTCGAACTCCTGACCTCAGGTGATCCATCTGCCTTGGCCTCCCAAAGTGCTGGGATACAGGGGTAAGCCACCATGCCCAGCCTCCATTCACATCTTAAGGGTCAAGGCAACAGGTTCAATGTTGGCCAGGCGGGGTGGCTCACACCTGTAATCCAGCACTTTGGGAGGCCGAGGTGGGCTGACCACTTGAGGTCAGGAGTTCGAGACCAGCATGGCCAACATGGTGAAACCCCGTCTCTAATAAAAATACAAAAATTAGCTGGGCATGCACCTGTAATCCCAGCTAGTCAGGAGGCTGAGGCACAGAATCACTTGAACCTGAGGCAGAGGTTACAGTGAGCCACGATCGCACCATTGCACTCCAGCCTGGGTGACGGAGTGTGACTGTGTCTAAAAAGAAAAAAAAAAGGCACAATGTTCATGATGTCCATCGCTAAAGCTTAGCGGGAATCAGGAAGGAGGCCCCGAGTTAAAGTGGGCCAGTCCACAGGTAACTACACAATTGAAAGTGCTGAGTATATACTTTTATAGCAATTTGACAGAATAATTTGATGTCTGATGACTTTAATAATTTTTAAAATGGACTTTTATTTGTATATTTTAAATTTCAATTTTCTATTAATTCATGTTTTACAAAAGTGTTAGGCTGTGACAAATTTATAACAAAATAAAAACTATACCTTCTCCACAAGTAATTTCAGAAGCACTGATAGAAAGTAAAAAGAAAAGTCTAGTGTTCTCCAGCCCTGGGAATGGCAAAAAGGAGAAAAGAGTCAGTAAGAAAGATTTGTTTTCCAGTTGTCCTCTGTCTGAGTTTTGGTCCAGAAAGGAGGATGATAAGTAAAGGTATCAGTGGAGACAGAGGTGCTCGTAATTCATTTGGGAGAGAAAATGCAGACTGCAGTGCAGAAGCCCCACACCCATATATGATTGCCCAGTCTTGCTGAAAGAGCAGAGTACAATTAGGAAAGACACCCGGTTGGGCACGGTGGCTCATGCCTGTAATCCCAGCACTTTGGGAGGCCAACGTGGGTGGATCACAAGGTCAGGAGTTTGAGACCAGCCTGACCAACATGGTGAAACCCCGCTTTAAAAAAAAAAAAAAAAAAAAAAAAGGAAAGACACCCTAATTGGACTCCTTGGTCTTATATGGCATGGATCCTGAGTTGAGAGCTAATGTAGGTAGTCACTGTGAAGAACTGGCTCCCAAATTGGGTATAAGAATAGGCCACTGGGCTATCAAGCTAGAAAGAACGCCTACTAGCCTCAATAGGGGTTTATAATGCTAGTGGGAGATGAGATGAAGGGAAAGCACCCTCATGCTCTAAACCAGAAGCAAGACCAGACTATGATTTATGACATCCAGGGGTTTCATCATCAGGGGCAGCAGATTAGGCAGGGTAAGGTGGACAAGGGAGAACAGTTTCCAGCTGGTCACATTCCTCAACTCCAAGGCATAGGATAAAAGAAACATATACACCCAACCATAACATACAACTGGATGCCATCTTAGGGAGAGAAGCACAGGGAAGAAGAGGCTAAGAGACTAAGCATTCTTATTCAAGAGACCTGAGAAGTATTTAAAGGAAGTGTTTACATTTTCAGAATAAGGTTTGAACAGAGAGAACATCTGATTAGTTTCCACCATATTTCCAGCAATAATCATGATGTGGATAGAAGAGGAGAGGGGCACTCACAAAGATGACAGGTGCTACAGACTAAATAAAGAAAAAATTTACACCCATCTGAATGATGAGGGAATGTGGACCCTATTATATTGGCTGCCATAGTTCTTCATGTTTCCCTAGCTCTAGTTCATAGCTATAATTTAGCCCCTGTCGTAGTCCTAGAAATTTCAGGATGATGAAATAAAGCAACTTTAAATAAAGTGACCTTATATGGAGTTAACTCTCTACTATTTGTTTGTCCACATACACTTTAAAAGCATACTGCAGTAGTTCTAATTCCATCTTCCACATGTTGCTCCAGACAAAGCCTTTCTTCTTATATTGTAATCTTTTTTTTTTTTTTCAGAAGGAGTTTCGCTCGTTACCCAGGCTGGAGTGCAATGGCGCGACCTCGGCTCACCGCAACCTCCGCCTCCTGGGTTCAGGCAATTCTCCTGCCTCAGCCTCCCGAGTAGCTGGGATTACAGGCACGTGCCACCATGCCCAGCTAATTTTTTGTATTTTTAGTAGAGACGGGGTTTCACCATGTTGACCAGGATGGTCTCGATCTCTTGACCTCGTGATCCACCCGCCTCGGCCTCCCAAAGTGCTGGGATTACAGGCGTGAGCCACCGCGTCCGGCCCTGTAATCTTTGTTATACATATTAAAATAACTGTGTACCAGGCACTGTGCTAGGCTTTTTATGTCTATTTATCCCATTTAGCCCTCGAAACAATCCTATGATATAGGGACTATTATAAAATCCATTTTATAGATGAGGAAATGGGTGGTTAAAAAGCTCAAGATCATACTGCTACCCATGATTTCAGGAGTTCTCACATCTTTTCTTCAAAGCCTATCCATGGACCTCAGTTAAGAACTGCTGCTCTAAAGAAAACCTAAGCAGAAGTTGTACTATTCTTTGGAAATGGTTTAGTCAAGTAGAAAAGGGACAGACAGGAGTGTCAGAAAGTTAGCTCCAAACAGACAGCAAATATCCTTTATGACTGTAAACAGGTTTTCTGTTTTTGTATTAAGTAGTGGATACACCAATGTATCTTTGGGACAGTCTGGTTCCTTTTTCTGGAATACTTGCTATCCCCCATAAATGGGTCATTTCACTAGAATTAGAGATGTGGCTAGATGGAATAAAAGTGCCCTAGATGGCCAGGTGTGGTGCCTTATGCCTGTAATACCAGCATTTTGGGAGGCTGAGGCAGGAGGACCACTTGAGCCCAGGAGTTCGAGACCAGCCTGGGCAACATAGTAAGACCTTATCTCTACCAAAAAATTTAAAAATTAGTGAGGTGCACTGGCATGTGCCTGAAGTCCTAGCTACTTGGGAGGCTGAGGTGGGAGGATTGCTTGAGCCCAGGAGGCTGCAGTGAGCCATGATCATACAACTGCACTCTAACCTGGATGACAGAGCCAGATCTTGTTTCAAAAAAGAAAAAAGTAGCCAGGTACAGTGGTTCACACCTGTAATCCCAGCACTTTGGGAGGCCGAGGTGGGCAGATCATGAGGTCAGGAGTTCGAGACCAGCCTGGTCAACATGGTGAACCCCCCCATCTCTACTAAAAATACCAAAAAAAAATAAAAAATTAGCTGGGAGTAGTAGTGGCGGGCACCTGTAATCCCAGCTACTTGGGAGACTGAGGCAGGAGATTCACTTGAACCTGGGAGGCAGAAATTGCAGTGAGCCAAGATCTCACCACTGCCCTCCAGCCTGGGCAACAAAATAACAAAGTGAGACTCCGTCTCAAAAAAAAAAAAAAAGTGCCCTAGATAAGAAGGTAAAAAATTTGAGTTATAGGCAGAGTTGCATTTCAGCAGACTTCTACTCTTTGAAGAAGAGAGTATTTTTCTTTTCTCTAAACATGGATTTAGAGAGTGCTATGTCATTCTGGTTTAAGCCATGACCTATAAGAGATGAGGAGCTAAAACTCAAGGATCACAACACTGAACAAGCAGGCCTGATCCTCGCATGGGAAGAAGAGCTAAAACAAAACAGACTATGTTGGTGGCAGCAGAAATGAAAATTGGACAGATTCTTGGTATTTTAAAGATAATACTCTAAAGGCTTCAGTGGTTCATTGGATATGCATGATAAGAAAGAGACAAGAGCCAATGATGATGCCTAAATTTCCAGCTCACCCAACTGATATATCATATAAGGCACATTGGAAAACTACATTTTTTCCTCCCATGAAGGGAGCAGGGAGTAGGGAATCATGAAAAGATAAGTAAGGAAGACCATGAATTCATCTATAAGACAACCTAATGAAGACGTTAGAGCTCAAAGAACAGATTTGGGATTAAGCATTAAATGTGGGAATTTTCAGTTTAATTGCAGCCATGAAAAAGTATCCTACACTCACCTAGGATGGAGTGCAGAAGATAAGAGGGAGGGCAGAGACCAGAGCCATGAGGAACTCCCATATTTAAAAGGACTGGTGGAGTGGAATGAGCTAGCCAAAACAGAGAACAAGCAATCAAAAAGAGGAAAAAACAAGGGAAGCATAATGTCACAAAGGCAAGGGGAAAATACTTCAAGATGGAAGGAGTGCTGAACTGTGCTGGATGCACAGTGTTAAACTAAGGATACTGGTGACAGAGAGAGCACCAGTGAACTTCTCAAGAACTGTGAAGTGAGTGATAGAGCCAGAAGCCAGCTGGAGAGGATAAGAGAATGACTGAAAGCAGAAACAACAGAAACAAATGCAGTCAACTTTTCCAAGTTCGATTACAAAGGGGAGGTAAGAAAGGGAGGGATAAAAAGGTTGAAGGAAGGTAATTTCAGGATGAAAAAAATCTAAGATGTTTAAAGACAAATCCAGAAGAAAAGTTGAAAATAAAAGGATAAAAGATGACACATACATGCTTAGCACATTATTGCTTGAATAGAAATATCAATAAATGCTAACTATTGCTATAATTAGTTACCATTATTATTATGAATATCATTATTGTTACCAGTTCTGTTAAATACAAGAGTTCCTCATAGCTCTGATTTTTGTCCTCTTGTCTTCTATACTTCATTGTAGGTAACTATAGAATACTTTTCCATGGCTGCAATTAAACTCAATACTCTTCACTGGGTTGTCTTATAGTGTCAAGGAAATTTAAATAGCAATTCCATTTATAATAGTGTCTAAAAGGATATCTAGGAACCAGTTTAAGTAAAAAGGTAAAATACTACTAGTACACTAAAAATTATAAGACATTGCTGAAAGAAATTAATGAAGACTTAAACAAATGGAAAGACTTCCAATGCTCATGGATAAGAAAATTTAGTATTGTCAAGATGTCAGACTACTCAGAGCAATCTAGAAATTCAACAATCTCTATCAAAATTTCAATAGCCTTTTTTGTAGAAATGGAAAAGCCCATCCTCAAAATCACAGGGAAAATTGTAGGGGCCCTGAATAGCCAAACTCATCTTGAAAAAGAAGAGCAAGGTGGGAGGACTTACTTTCCCATTTCAAGACTTAATACAAAGCTACAGTAATCAAAATAGTGTGATACTGGTGTAAGGATAGACATATAGACCTATGGAACAGAATTACGAGTTTAGTAACCTATGGCAAGTAGATTTTTTAAAAATAAAAATTGGGGCCGAGCATGGTGGCTCATGTCTGTAATCCCAACACTATGGGAGGCCAAGATCAGAGGGTCACTTGAAGCCAGGAGTTCAAGACCAGCCTGGGAAATAAAGCAAGACACTGTCTACAAAAAGTAGGAATTGAAATTAGCCAGGTGTGATGGTAAGCATCTGTAGCCCCAGCTACTTAGAAGGCTAAGGTAGGGGGACTGCTTGAGCCCAGGAATTGGAGGCTGCTGTGGGCTATGATCATGCCACTGCACTTCAGCCGGGTTACAGAGTGAGACCCTGTCTCAAAAAAACAAAACTGTACATATATAAAGTATACAACATGATGTTTTGATAAACATAGTGCAATGATTACTGTAGTCAAGCTAACATATTTATCTCTTCATGTAGTTAGCATTTTGCTTTTATGTGGTAAGGGCACCTGAAATCCACTCTCTTAGCAAATTTCCACTATACAATAGTCATCATGCTGTACATTAAGTCTCTGGACTTATTTATTCTACATAATTACAACTTTGTACCCTTTGACCAACATCTCTCCATTTCCCTCATCAGCATCTCCCTATTTCCCCCTCCAGCTGATTTTTTATAAGGGTGCCAAGCCCATTCAATGGAGGAAAGAACAGTCTCTTCAACAGATGGTACTAGTACAACTGGAGTTCCACATGCAAAAGAATAAATTTGAACCCACTACTTCACACCATATACAAAAGCTGACCCCAAAATAGACCAATGACCTAAATATAAAAGCAAAAACCATAAAACTCTTAGCAGAAAACATAGGGGTAAATCTTCACAACCTTGGATTTAGGCAATGGATTTTTAGACATGACACCAAAAAGTACAAGCAACAAAAGAAAAAAATAGATAAATCAGACTTCAACAAAATTAAAATGGACAACTCAAGTGACCATTGATGGATGAATGGATAAAGAAACTGTGGCACAGCCATACAATGGAATATTATTTGGCAATAAAACGGAATGAAGTTCTTATACATGCTGCATTGTGGATGAACCTTGAAAATATTATGCTAAGTGAAATAAGCCAGACACAGAAGGTAAAATATTATATGATTCTACTTATATGAAGTATCTAGAATAAGCAAATTCATAGAGAAAGTAGATTAGAGATTACCAGGGGCTGGGATAAGGGGAAAATGAGGAGCTGTTGCTTAATAGTTAAAGAGTGTCTGTTTGGGGTGATGAAAATGTTTTGGAAATAGATAGTGGTGATGGTTGCACAAGACTGTGAATGTAATTAATGGCACTGAATTATACACTTAAATTATTAAAATGGTAAATTTTATGTTATATATCATTTACCACAACTTAAAAATGAATAATATATAAAAAAAAGAATGTCCAACCCATTTAATTATATAGTTTAAATGAGTGCATTATATGGTATTATATGAATTATATCTCAATAAAGACTGTTAAAAAAATAGAATGAGTAACTTGGTTTAAATGTTCTTTAAGTTCCCTTCCATTGCTGATTTCTGTGATATTTTTTAAGGGTGGAAAATAGGTTATGTCCATTGTTAAAAGTCTAGGAAATCTGGGGCATACTGATAATGGGAGAGGCTAAATATGTGCAGGGACAGGGCGTATATGGCGTATCTCTGTACCTTCCTTTCAATTTTGCTGTGAACCTAAAACTGCTCAAAGAAAGTAAAACCTTAGTGGCCAGGCATAGGGGCTCATGCCTTTAATCCCAGCACTTTGGGAGGCCAATGCAGGTGGAGCACAAGGTCAGGAGTTCGAGACCAGCCTGACCAACACGGTGAAACCCTGTCTCTACTAAAAATACAAAAATTAGCCAGGCATGGTGGTGCTCGCCTGAAATCCCAGCTACTCAGGAGGCTGAGGCAGGAGAATCGCTTGAACCCGGGAGGCAGAGGCTGCAGTGATAGTGCCACTGCACTCCAGCCTGGGCAATACAGCAAGACTGTCTCAAAAAAAAAAAAAAAAAAAAAATCTCGGAAATCTCCAATTATGTCCCTTGCCTTGGGTTCAGCTTCACATTTCAATGAAACAGAGCCTAGCATACAGTACTAGATAAATGTCTGTTATTATGATCATCATCATCTTTTTCAAAAAGATGATGTCTGTGAGACAAGTATGATTAAAACCATTTTCGATAAGAATAAATAGAGAGGGTAAAATTTTTGAGAAATTTGAGAAAATTTATTTTTTCAATAAATCTCTCACCCAGCAACCGAGAGAGCTAGGATTTGAACCCATGATAGCCTAGTCCAAGAGCCCAGGCTGACACCACTAAGTTCCTCCCCAGCCCACTCTATTCTAGAACTGCTGTACATACAGGTCTGATCATTTTTCTGCTGTGAATGAAATGGTACCACTTTACCTGGTACTTTTTCTGTGTAGCCACATGGACAATGCATGTCAAAGCACTTTGAAAACAGAAAATCCTATTCAAATGGTAGGTATTATTTACAAAGTTGGCTTTATAAATGTGTGTTTTTGACAGCCTAAAGTTAAGATCCTACTAAGAGAAATTATCATCGTACCTTCTTTTGTGAAGTCAAAGCCTTCAAGACAGTACTCAGAATTCAATAAATAGGTTTTACTATGTAGATGAACAAAGCTTTAAAGTGAATAAGGACAGCAGTGAAGGACAGGTCAAGGATAGATATTTCACAAGCCAACTGAATCAAGACCATGGCTTCATTAGCTCTGAGCCATTTAACATTTCATATACTTAGCAGGAATGTATGACAATATTACTTTGATTTTTTGCTGGTCCCGCTTAATTACTGCATCCAGTTGCTTCCTTTTTTCATTTTCTTCTCCAAGTTTTCTTTGTAGCTGTACCTTTTGATACTTCATGTGATCTACATTCTGCTCTAGTTCATTAGCACGTTTCTCGTTTTGGATTGACAGTGATGCCAATTTCTTACTATCTTGTTGCTTCCTCTGTAAGACCTGAAATCATATGGAATATTTCAAAATGAAAAACTGAATCTCTCAAATTCCCCAACGAAACTTAATCTTTTCATTTAATGATAAAAGAAGAAATTTTCTGTAGATTTTCATTTATTTTTGACAGGTTCATAAACAATATTGGTTACTCTCCTACATTTGCATTTTTGCAACTAGGGAAACCATCACCACTTTCATCCCAAATGTAAAAATATAAAGAATGATGAGACTTCCTGATGCGGACAACAAACAAAATAAAATGGATGATTTGCTTTTTATTAATAAGCATTTTAATTTAAAAATTAGTTAAAACAGCATAAAACGGAATTTATATTTTAAGAGTCACTCATATCATACACCCCTAATTTACCTGTCCTGCTTCCCAACACAAAATTACCAATTTCTTAAATATTCTTCCAGGAAAAAAAATGTATGCATATGCATGCAAACAGCTTCATATATATTCTATATAGACTCCTATCTCCCTTTTTCCCTAGTTATCTCAGAGGTCTTTTCATATAGATTTGTTCTGCATGGGAGCACAGCATTCCACTGTGCACTTGTTTTTATAGCTACAGCTATAGCCTAAATCGTTAATCCCTGAGTTAAGATGATCGGAGCTGATAACATTTTCCCTGAGAGTGACCATTATAATTACTGTTTTAACATTTATCTTAAATTCCTTCTCATCTAACTAAAATTATGTATAGATAGCATTAGGGTTTCAAAGTGTTCATACCACTAATATAAAATACTTGTGTTACAATTTAGTCCTGACCAAAGTTAGACTTGTATTATGTTATTAGCATTGCACTAAGTACCAATTAGGTGGCATAAAAAAGTTAAGGAGATGTCATTCATAAATTATGCCGACCACAATTATTTCCTTTATTTTGGCAATAACGTGTTAGCATAAGCAAGTTTTATTTTAACTAAATTAAGCATCCAAGAGGCACTGCAATTTATAGCAGTGCTACTCAAAATGTGATCTGTGGACCAGTGCTAGTTCACAGACACTGTTGTCAGTTTGTACCCCTCAGCATACTATTAGATTCAGTTGATGTTTTCATGCAAGACTTTTTTGATGAAGGAAGCTGTGCAATGATTGACCTTTATCTCATCACAGAACAAGAACAAACTGCAGATGGACTACTTTGGATACCACTGGCTTAGAGGCCACAAGCCTTTGTACTTTCCAATACCTAAATCTGGACACCGGCTTTGCCACTTACAATTGACAATAATTACAATACTGCAGCAAAAATTATGATATCAGTATTTTAGTGTCTTTTTCACATAATATTAAAAATATCAGTGTACATCTGAAAATCTTAAGAGTGAGATACTGTTCCCACTGTCTTTTGCATTTTTCCATAGTTGCTCAAATGCATCAGCATGAAACTATTAATGCAGCATGTAACACTCTACATATACCTGAAGACATTAAAAATATAGGTTTTAGAAGTTTCTAATTTAAATTTTTTTTGTTTTAAAAATGAAAATAACTGTATTCTACCAATAAAAATACTAGTATTTCAGTACTTTAAAACAGCATGATATGGCTGGGTGCAGTGACTCGCACCTGTAATCCTAGCACTTTGGGAGGCCAAGACAGGCCAAGACCACTTGACGTCAGGATTTCAAGACCAGCCTGACCAACATGGTGAAACCCCATGTCTACTAAAAACACGAAAATTTGCAGGTGTGTGGCAGGCACCTGTAATCCCAGCTATTTGGGAGCCTGAGGCAAGAGGATCACTTGAGCCTGGGAGGTGAAGGGTGGAGAATGCAGTGTCCAGCCTAGGCAACAGAGCAAGACTACGTCTCAAAAAAAAAAAAAACAAAAACAAAAACAAAAAACCATGTTATGTTAGAGTACTGAAAACTGGTATTGTCATCACCACTATGGGACTCTGACTGGGTTATTTTACCTTTCTAAACCTTTGTTTCCACATTTGTAAAATGGCTAAAAATGCCCACTTCAAAGGATTAAATAATGTATATAAACCATTTGGTATGTATAGGCCCTCAACAAATGGTAACTATTGTCCTCCTCATCCTCCTTATCATTCTATCCCCATCAGTAGTGCATGGACATGTCAAAGGTACAAAATTTCTAAAACTATGTCTTGTTTCTGTCCTCTGCTGTATCAGATGTTTCTTTCGAGGTTAAGTTCCACACCTTTCTTTTCCTTTCCTTATCAGTACTCTTAGCAGAAAAGGATACACAGCAGGAAGCATAGAAAACATGGAAAGACATATAATAATAATAATATAATAATCCACAAATCCTATTAATAGTCTTTAATCTTCTAATCTCTCCCATTTTAGTTGTGTGAGACATAGGAAATACAAAAATAACCTCTGCGGAATTCATAAACAAGGCTTAAACTATAGATGTATATGATAAGTAACCTCTCTAGAAAAATAATAATTTTGGTTTTCAATGTTGAGAATAAGAATTATAATAAGAACTGACGCTAGAATACAAACTTATTAAATTATAAGTAAAATTTCACAATAAACACAAGGAAAAATCTTAATCATTATATCCTACTAATGTTTTGCTACAATGAATACTTTGTTAGGCATCACAGCCCTAATTTAAAGAATTAAGAAGTGAAAAAGAATTCATCCCAACACTTTCAGAGGTGAATTCCAAAGTGAAAATATGTATTCTGAAGGAAAATGGAAGGTGTGACATAGATAACCACCCTATGTCCGCCTTTAAGCAATTCAAATATTCAAGTCATATTATTTTAATTTGGTATTGACTTGAGAAGCTATTTAGGTAATAACCTTTAGTGGAAATATCCAGATGTTTGAGGTGGCATAAGAAACTCCAGGAGGGACTTTTCTGGCCCGTTCACCTCCGCCTCCCTACCTAGATTAGGACCAGGCACACGAGAGGTATATCACAAATATCTATTTTGTTGAAAGCAAATAAACGTGGCATAGTTCAAAAATAATAATAATGCTGTGACTAGGTTAATTACAATTCTACCTATAATGGAAACAATATAAAAATGTTTCTATAGCATGAAAGCAGTAGATCATGAGATCATGAGAGGTAAAGAAATCCTAGAAAGTTCATTATGATCAGACTAACAAAGCACTGTGACTATCTCCAAAGCACCTGGAAATGGCTTCATCACACAAAATCTCTATGTGATGGGATATTTCTCATAGAATAGAATTTTTAACTGTAGCTATTTCTAAAGTTAAAGCTAAAACCAGGCATTAGGAAGTTAAGGATAAGTTGCAGTACACAAAGTTATTAACTCTTCTTAAGCCAATCAATTATGGTTTCAGAAAACCATATCTCAAAATTGTTCCCATTTGTTGAGTGTCATATAGGAACCACCTGTTTTATATGTATGATTTAACCATTATTTAATCCTTTGTCCTTCAGAAAAAAAACACTATTTTGTGGTTATCTTTATTTCTTACCATGTGGTTTTCTGACATGAAGATTGAAAGAATACATATTTCTTGAATGAAGAAATATACAACCCAGATTTAAAAACAGGTAAATCGACCAGCACTCTACAAAAGAAAAATTCACACCCTGTTTTTCTTGCTGGTATAAACTGAATTCCACTTCTTTCCTAACTCAGTACAAGAATCCTCAAAAGCAGGAAAGCTTAAATAAGTTTTCTCAATTACATTTTTTAAATTACCTGAACTCTCAGCTTTGCAGCATCCATCTTTTTACGGAACTCTTTCTGTAATTTTACCTTCATTGCAACATCAGAAAGATCTTTGTTTTCCAGCTCCTGTAGCTGTTTTTGTGTTTCAAAGAGTTCGACTTTTGCCTGTTCTGCATCATGCTCTAGTTTTGTTACTTTCAAAGAATACTGCTTGCTTACAGACTTGGCATCGTGACCTTAAACATAATAATTATTATTAGTATAAATTATGTAAAAAGAAGTTAAACATCAAAAACATAAAAATACTCTAAAATCCAGCCAGGCAGTGACACTATTTAAGATATAGCATTAAAAACCGAGTTGTCCCCACCCACCCCCATCAAACACAGCTTGCCACCAGGCCTCTTAATGATTAGTTCCTTAATGATTGTTCCCATCTGCTGCCACTCAGGCTCACTTTTAATCTTTTGCGTTTTAGAGTGACATTTCTGGTCCTCTGAATTTGTTATTGAGCTTTGCTGGCATCAAACTCAGTTAAGAAGGATATTTGGAGTGACTGTCCTCTTGCTTAGTATACTCTAGCCTCCTGCTACCAATGATCTGTCTCCTTGAATTACTTTTTAAAATTACTATTAAAAAATTTTAAACATAACAAAAGAAATAATAAAATGAACCCCCATCACCCAGATTTGAAAGTTATCAAGATTTTGTCATAGCTGCTTAATATGCCTTTTGTTTTACTTTGCTTAACTATTATAAAGCAATCCCAGATGTCATATCATCTCACCTATACATACTTCATTTTGTTAAATTCCCATTTTTACTTATACATACTGCAACAAGCATTTATATAAAATATGGACATAACCAAAAAGTTATTATCACACTAACAATGTTAATACCAATCAGTCTATAATCAGACTTTCCTAATTGCCTCAAAATGTCTTTCACAATTGGTTTATTTTAATCAGGATCTAAACAAGGTCCACAATACATTTGATTGTCATGTCTCTTAAGAATCTTTTCATCCAAAGCTGATTCTCCTTTTTCACTGCACTGAACTTGAGATCAATTCCTTTTAAATTATTTTCTTATTAATATATAGAACAGAAAAAATATACTATAGATATTTCTACATCTCTTTTCATTCTAAGTCCAGCTACTAACCTAAAAGTTTGGTTTTGATTTGCTCTGAATAGGCAACTGTCCCTGAACTAGACTGGAAAACTCGTGGCAATAAAAAAATAGGAATCTAAAGCTTGGAGGATGCTGATGAATAATCACCAGAGACAGTTTATTATACTATGTATTTACTTATTTATTTGAGACAGAGTCTTGCTCTGTCACCCAGGCTAGAGTGCAGTGGCGCAATCTCAGATCACTGCCACCTCTGCCTCCTGAGTTGCAGCAATTCTCCTGCCTCAGCCTCCCCAGTAGCTGGGATTCCAGGCACACGCCACCATGCCCGGCTAATTTTTATATTTTCAGTAGAGACGGGGTTTCACCATATTGGCCAGGCTAGTCTCAAAGTCCTGAACTCAAGGGATCTACCCACATCGGGCTCCCAAAGTGTTGGGATTACAGGCGTGAACCACTGCACCCAGCCTATTATACTATTTATATAGCTGGTTATACCTGCTATCCAAAAATGCTCATCATTTTAAAATAAAATTTATTTAACTAAATGCATTGTGAGCCATCCTCTGACTCTAATTTACTATTTATTTGACTACCTTTAAAATACATATAACTACTATATTTAAACAAATCATTTTGGGCTATTCATTAATTGTTCAACACACTTTTTATGAGCCACTACAAAAAATATAGTGCCAGGCCAGGCACAGTGGCTCACGCCTGTAATCCCAGCACTATGGGAGGCTGAGGCAGGTGGATCACCTGAGGTCAGGAGTTCAAGACCAGCCTGGCCAACATGGCAAAACCCCATCTCTACTAAAAATACAAAAATTAGCGAGGCATGGCGGTGGGCACCTGTAATCCCAGCTATTTGGGAGGCTAAGGCAGGAGAATCACTTGAACTCAGGAGGCGGAGGTTGCAGCAAGCTGAGATCACGCCATTGCACATTAGCCTGGATGACAAGAGCAAAACTCCATCTCAAAAAAAAAAAAAAAAACACAGTGCCAATTACATGTTTATTAATTTTTTTCAGACAGCGTCGAGCTCTATCATCTAGGCTAGAGTGCAGTGGTGCAATCATGACTCACTGCAGCCTTGACCTCTGGGGCTCAACAAATCCTCCTACCTCAGCCTCCCAAGCAGCTGAGACTACAAGCATATGCCACAATACCCAATACGCACCTGTGGTTTTATAAATTTTTTTGCAGTGTATCAGAATTGATAAAATATAATATAGATGTCCTGTTATTGTTAGTTGGCAGAAGTAGCCGCTATTCAAGAGAAGTCTTCAGTGAGAGGGCATTGAAAAGTAAGCACTCACTGACACTTTCACAAGTCACCATCTCTGAGGATTTTTAGGAAAGCTCCAAATTGCCCTGGTTCTAATGAGCAAGAAAGGACCTTCTCTGTGTAAGCTCTGGTGTCGTCCATTTTAAAGCAACCATGTTGGGTATACCAGGCTACAAAAACATGTTTGTTTAATGAGATACATGGTAAGATAACCTTTCTGAAACAAAGTAATTCATTGTAGTGGGAAAATATCCTCGAATTCCACAGGAAGTGCCCTGAAATCTTGGGAATGGAGAAGCCATTCTAGATCAGCTCCTAGATACTCCTAAGGGGTCAAGTGCGGTTTGATCCTGCCTGTGAGGAAGCAGCATGGTCAAACTTATTTAAACATCTGGGTAACTGGAGCTAGGATGATGCATAGCACATATGTCACTAGGAATGAGAAAAAAAAAAACAACTTTGGGAAAGTAGCT